AAAGATCTCAAACACCATCGGAGTGCCGGCCCCGGCCAGAGGAAGGCTGCTGCCGACGCTGCGGGGGTCGTGTTTACTGGCTCCCGTGATCACCTTCAGAGTCTGACAGCAAACAGCAGGGGGCAATAGAAGGCTGGTTGGTTGTTTTGTTTTTTCCCCATATAATTATGTGGGTTTTAAATACAAATGTATGCACTTCTCACTGCAGTTAAAACATAGAATATTACTCTTTATTCTGTTTGGTTTTGTTTTCCAGAAGAAAGGTGCCAAGTTTGTAGCTTTATTCTCAAGGAGACTTGAGGCTGTTGTTGCTGCCAAAGGTGCTTTAACCAAGTGCTAAGTGAAGGGTCTGAATACTGATGTAAATGGGATATTTGAGCCTTTTTAGTTTTAGAGGATGTGAGAGGCTTCTCACCACAAGCGCCAGCTGCTGGACATGAACAACGGAGGAGAACTCCTGCATGCAGGACAGGATGGCTTTGACTCCGCCCTCGGTGGCGAAGGAAACCCTCCACTCATATTTCTGCATGAGCAGGAGGGTGAGTCTCAGTGTGCAGACCACCACATCTTTAGACGAAGAGCCCAGCAGCTCCACCAGCAGCTTCAGCACTTTGTCCCTGTCAGAGAACAGAGAAGAACAAAGTCAGCTCCAGCACACAAACTGTCCTGAGCTCTGCAACCCTCAGCAGCTCTTCAAGTCTGACAATGTCAATTGCAGCTCCATGAATATGACCAAATGTGAAACATCCTCGTCTCTGCGCTGACCCCCCATCACTGTTGTCATTCTCTTCCATGTTTATTTTTACTTTACATACCATCAACACAAAAACATCACCCCAGTGAGGTAACAACAGCCCGAGGCTGCTGAGGTTTCGAGCTTTTTAAACAGGCAGCCAGTCCTATGGATGCGTCCAGTTACTGAAGCACACCGAGCTCCAGGGTCTAACACCATGTCTACAGCACACAGTCATTGGGCCTGTGTTGCCTCGCATTATCACTCACACTGTTAGGTTAGGTTACTTTATTTATACCCGTAGGTAAATTTGTCTTGCAGTCAGATCAAATGACATCCTTGACACATTCACAAAATACAAGAATAGAAAACATAACATAAACCTGGCGCCTACACCGAACATAATAAAAGTAGTCAGGGCTCCACCAATCAAGACATAAAAGAAAGAAAACATCTGAAGAAAACCTAAAATTACTTACAATATATTACTACAGCCTATTTAACTCTATAACAGCAGCAGGGACAAAAC